TTCTGGAAGGAAATGGGATAAAAGGGGGGTTGTACACATGCCCCCAATGTGTGCTGGAATGTGCATTTAGTCCCAGCTTCTGCCAACCTATCAGTTCAAAAACATGCAAATGTGAGTAGATCAATAGGTACTGCTCTAGAGGGAAGGTAACGGCGCTCCATGTAGTCGTGCTGGCCACATGACCTTGGAGGTGTCTATGGACAACGCTGGCTCTTCAGCTTAGAAATGGAGGTGAGCACCAACCCCCAGAGTCAGACATGACTGGACTTAATGTCAGGAAAACCAACCAACCAATTTCTTTGAATAGGGATTTGAACCCTGATCTCTTGGGGACCTAATCTCAACACTACTATGGCACTACTATGGCATTCTGTATATCTGCTTATGCAGCCATGAATTAATATGATTCTTGTCCAAGAGCCAAAAAAATACAATATTTACACTTGTGTATGGCGTGCACATAATTCTGAGTGAAGTATGTGGCTGGTTCTTTAGAAGATGGAAGAGAATGCAGAATGGAGGAATTATGCCACTGAAAGTAGGCAGACTAGAGAGAATGAAGGTTTAGGGGAATAGGTGTTCCGTCATTCGTTCTACTTTAAACATACATATTTATATGCTTCTGTAGTTATTACACAGCAAGCATGGAAGCCCATTTTTATCCTGAAGGCCAAATTGGCTCTGGGGGAAGATATCAGCAGCTAGATGGGAGAACTCTCTACTAATGGCAAATGTGCAACTCATTTACACAAAGACAAACACATACAAACACTATAGTTTAGCCTTCTTCAAGTTGTTTGTTATGCCTCACTCATCATGTTCTTCCTTTCCTTTTCCACTAAACTTGTTTTCAAGTATGCCTTATTAGGGAGGTACAGACAGTGGCAAAGACACTCCAGATGTGGAGATATGCAGTAATTGTATGTATTTGGCACCTTATATACAACTTTGTTTCCATGGCCTTTAATTGAATGCAAATGTTTTGCATTGAATAAATGTATGTTCCATAGAGAATTTTGGTTTAAGACTACTTCTTTTCTTATCCCTTTTTCACAAGCAATTGGAATTGGATGTCTCATGAGAAAGCATGTTTCATTGAAAAAGAGGATAATGCTATAATGCAGTAGGGAAAGAGGAAACCTACATTACAGGTGGATTAATTCATTCAAGGAAGCTAAAGCCCTGAGTTTGCAAGCTCTGAGCAGGGATGTAAATAACAAAGTATCTTGGAGGTTTCTTATCCATAGGGCCACCATAAAGCAAAACCATCTTGGCAGCTATGAACAATCACAAGATCCTGACAATTGCATTCACAAAATTAACTATTTGTTGAATATTTATTTATTTTTTTATTTATTGACGTAATCTCCCACTTTTCTCCCAAAATTAGATTCCACATGATATAAAAATCCCCACCAATCTAAAGGGGCCATATATATATATTGGCCCTGATACTTACTTACTTACTTACTTACTTACTTAGGCGATCCCTCATTGTCGAAATATGATGGCCTTACAAGTGTAGTGTCTTGATGGTGAATACGTAGGTGACTATAGAGCTTTATTATTGATCCACAAGTTCTTCTACAGTGAGGGCATCGGTTTCCAGGGGGAAGGTGGTTCCAGCCACAGTTGGGTTGGCTTGAGGCGCCTGCTTCTTGGCACATTTCTCCCTTTCACCCTCCATTCATGCCTCCTCAAATTCCACAGCACTGCTGGTCACAGCTGGCCTCCAGCTAGAGCACTCAAGGGCCAGGGTTTCCCAGATCTCGGTGTCTATGCCACAGTTTTTAAGTTAGCTTTAAGCCCATCTTTAAATCTCTTTTCCTCTCCACCAACATCTCATTTTCCATTCTTGAGTTGGGAGGATAGCAACTGCTTTGGGAGACGGTAATCGGGCATTTGAACAATACGGCTGGTCCAGCGGGGTTGATGGCATAGGAGCATCGCTTCAATGGTGGTGGTGTTTGCTTCTTCCAGTACACTGACATTTGTGTGCCTGTCTGTCCAGGAAATTTTCAGGCCCTGATACTACATTATGTTTGCATAATATGAACTTATACTCATATAATAACACAGGGCTTGCACTACTTCAAAATTTGCTGCATATTGTTGTTATATATCTGCTCCCTTTTGTCCCCTTGCACAATGTGGAGAATTCAGTGGCAGTTTCCACAATCCTAGTGAATTTTATGAAACCTTGAAGACACTGGTAAATACTCTTGTACCATTCAAGAATGCACAAATACACGTGGAAGAGTTACGCTTGCAGAACATTGCTAGTGCAGCCATAAACTGAATATCTGTGCTGCACAGCAATTGAGAGGGTACAATCATGATACTAAGAGGAGTCTGGCCATTGTGTTGTGCTAAGGGAAAATTCAGCACTTAAGGGCCATGTACTTAACAGAAGTGTGTTATTAAGGCATTCTGCACATGGCATATGCTATCATTAGTCTCACAGCTTGGAATTGTTAGCATGAATGCAATTGTATTAATGTTAAATCATATTTAACAATCATTTGCTAATGTTAAAATATTGGGAGAAAATATAAAATTAATTTGTTACACTAACTGTTAATAAAGCTGTTCATTTTTAACACATTCAAAATTTTAAACGATATTAAACTCACCCCAAAAATGATAAATTAAAATAACATGAAGCACTCATCATTATATCGAAAAAATTAACATTGCTGGCATTTAATAATTAAATTTACTAATGTTAGATTTGGCATTGCAAAATATTAATGAACAGGGTAACAAATTAATTTTAACACATTAAATCTGAGTTCTCATAATTCCCATGCAAGTATAGCAATTCATATCCCTGAGGGCTCTGTTACTGTGTGCTTTCAAATCATTTCTGACTTAGGATGACTCCAAGATTGCCTTCTTCTGTGGCTAAGAGAGTGTAAGTTGCCCAAATTCAGCCAGTAGATCTCTGTGGCCAAGTAGGAATTAAAACCCTGGTCTTCAAAATCATAGTCTTTAGCACAGAAGGTTAATCACCAGCTGCAGCTGAATCTTGCCAATTGAAAGGTTGACAGGGTTGTTGTAGGTTTTTTCGGGCTATATGGCCATGTTCTAAATACATTTTCTCCTGACAAGGTTGACAGTTCAAAGCTGGTTCAGGGTGAGCTCCTGATCTCCAGCCCTGCTCACCACCCACCTAGCAGATCGAAAACAGCAATGTGAGTAGATAAATAGGAACCACATTAAGGAGGAGAGGTGTTTTAGGCATGGCATTTCAATCAAAAAAAGGAGGAAAAGTTTATGAACAAAGAAAGCTTTTTGGCAAGGAGATGGAGCAACAGCACCCCCAGCACCCCCAGCACCCCCAGCACCCCCACCACTTGTGGCCGGAACCAAGCATAGCCTCCAAAGATGCTGAAAAATGGGAAAAACCTATATATATATACCTCTATTTGTTGTTTGTCTTGTCATTGTATAATCAGCATTGAATGTTTGCTGTATGTGTGTTCTGTGATCCACCCTGAGTCCCCTTTGGGGTGAGAATGGTGGAATATAAATACTATACATAAATAGTCAAACAGCAAACTAATATGCCACACAAGTGACCACTCAAAAATGTGTTTCTCCTATTCCATCCCCTTCATGGTCTCAACTGGTTTGGTGCACTTTACATTCACCTGCTGTTGTAGGTCTACCTCCAGCATCAGAACAAGGGTAGGCTGCTTGTACCTTTCCAAGTGTTAGACTGGGAGTACTACTCCAATTTAACCAATGCTGAAGAATTCTTAAGAGATGGTAGGGGCTGAAGTCCAAAATCACCTGAAGAAACACAAGGTAACCATCCCTTCCTTAGAGCCAAAGCTGATGGAGTCTTTCCCATCTCTCATCTATTCATATTTCACAAGTATAATTTTATTTTTAAACAGTTTGGATATGAATCCCATTGTTAGAGTAAATCTTTCAAACAATAGGATTCTGTATATCTGCACTTGAGCGAATGAATCTTCTTAGCTGGGACTATCAATAGGATTGATTGTTTATTTGTTTATTTATATTTAGCCTGAGCTAGGACTAAAAACATTTCAGGGTTTTTATTTATCATGTCAGGCAACCGAACAGTTGTATTACTTTTTTTTTACAGAACAAACAAACATACAGAAACACAGAGTTTGCAAGCTTGGTAGTTGATTAAATGTCCTTTGACCAGTATCTGGCCACTTGGAGTGCCTCTGGTGTTGCCACAAGAAGGTCCTCCATTGTGCATGTAGCAGGGCTCAGGTTGCATTGCAGCAGGTGGTCTGTAGTTTGCTCTTCTCCACACTCGCATGTCATGGATTCCACTTTGTAGCCCCATTTCTGAAGGTTGGCTCTGCATCTCGTGGTGCCAGAGTGCAGTCTGTTCAGCGCCTTCCAAGTCGCCCAGTTTTCTGTGTGCCCAGGGGGGAGTCTCTCATTTGGTATCTGCCATTGATTGAGGCTCTGGGTTTGAGCCTGCCATTTTTGGACTCTCGCTTGCTGAGGTGTTCCAATGAGTGTCTCTGTAGATCTTAGAAAACTATTTCTTGATTTCTTGATTTCAGGGTGACATATAGTAAAATCAAATTAAAAATGTAAAACAGTAAAAAAATAAATTAAGCAGACCGACACATATTAAACCATTTTGATAAGTTGAAAGAAGACAATTTAAAATCAGTTAAACTAGATTGAAACACTTGTGTAGCTGTAAACAAAAATCAGCCAGGCCCCAAAACTTTAGTGAAAAGCTCTACTTTAACTTGGAGCTGGAATAACACCAGTGTTAGCTCCAAAAGGGTCTCTAAAGAGAGGGTCTGCCACAGCAGAGAAGTCTCTCTCCCATAATCCCCTACCAGTGTGTTTTCCCCAATGGTGTGAGTTCCTTTCCAGTAGATCTTTGCAGTTCGCCCAATTCTACCGGTTTCCTTTGCCTTTCATTTATATTTGTACTCCATGTGTTTTCATTGATTCATCAGCTATGTTGACCCATGTTTCCATTTTCTTAACAGAGAAATCTCTCAGAATGATGCCTTGGAAACTATAGAATCGGACTCATTCTCCCACCTTCCCAAACTCTATGAAATGTGAGTAAATAAATAAATGGAATTGGAAAGTAGGGGTATAATAAAACCAGGACAAATCAAACTTCAACATTGCATGGAGATTTACTGGGATGAGCCTTTCAAAATGGATCTTGGAATAGTGTTTGTTTCCTTCTGTCTTGACCTTTAGCCATTGTTTAGTTTTCTCACAAGAAGATAGACCGATATTTGAAGAGCAGTTGTAGCCCTATCTTTGCATAGCATGGTTTTATATTTTGTCCCATTTGGGCATGGGAGGTCTTTTTTTTAGATCAGTACCTTCCATAGAACTTGTACAATATATGTTGGGGTTCAATGGAAATTATTTGCAGGAGTGGTCAAGATGTGATGAGACGGGTCAAATTATTCCTTGCATATGTGAATGGTTAGCTCTTCTTAAGAGAAAGGGTTACTTCAGTAGTATGCACACACATTATCACAAAGCATACTAATAGGCAAATAAGCTCCTAATCCTTATGATTCCAATTCCAAATTAATATTTCTTCTTCCTTTTCCCACAGAAGAATCGAGAAAGCCAACAATCTGGTGTATATTGATAGATATGCCTTCCAGAATCTTCCTGGTCTTAGATACCTGTAAGTAATTTGGAGAAGTATAACTATTTCAATTGAAATGTTAATTTCATGCTGTGTGTATATATTATTTACACAACTGTATAATTCATTTCCTACATAAAATGCATTTTTTCAACATAGCTCCAATTTACTGAGATTATTCTTGTTTCTAGAGCTCATGAAGTAATCTTTTATTGCTGAAAAAATGACTTTCAAAAAGATCTGTAGCTAATCCGTCAGTAACTGCTTGTTCTCTTGAATTTGGTTGCATGAAGGTCACAGGTTCCTTGCTTACATCTTGCCTAACACTCATATGTAAAGTATGACATAATTTCAACTCCTTCCCCATACATGCCATATGTCATGATATTAAAAGTATCCTGTCTCTATTTTAACTGACACTAGCTCTTATTTTATTTATTTATTAAGTGAGCATGTATGGCTATATCCTTCTGTCTGCTACAGCAATGACCTACTATTTAAGAAACATTCTGTTTTGTTTTAGCGGTTAATAAGGTTCTTGTTTAGCCTTTGAAATGTCCTCTGTTGAATTCCTCAAAGATTATGTACTGTCCAGAAGAGACTGGAGCCTTCCATACTAAGGGAATGGGGAATTTGCTAGGAGTTGAAGTGGGTTTGAAGTGCAAACAAGCTATCCAAAATGCTGAATCTATTGGGAGCAGAGGTTTCAGTACCTTGGAAAGCTCCACTGAAGTCTGCCCATCACAGATACTGTCCTTGTGCTAGGCAAAAATGCATTGATTTTTTTTAAAAATGAGAAGAGTTGTGTTATTTCTCTGGATTGCTTATTTTAATAATTATTTCCCAATGTTTACAACATTCTTCATGAACACCTTCATGAAGAATGAATGAACAGGGCAGAAGTGAAATAAACAATTTCACCCATTTCTGAGTAGGTCATTTGGCTGAGTGCTTTCAACACTTGGTAAAGTATTTAAAATCCCCTTTGTTTTTTCCACAGTTTTTGTGCTGCAACTTTAAATGTAACTGGGCAAAATGGGCATTGTTACAACTTGGTGTACACAAGATATTCAACACTGTGAGAGTAAAAAAAAGTTTTATTGAGACAGTCAAGTACACTAGAGAAACATCTCACGATTCTCAAAAGATGGTTGTTTTATTTATCAAAAAGCCTAAGGTGTTTTAGTCTGTGTGTACTCTTAATGCCTTCTTCGGGGGATATATAAAATTACAAAAGGGCAACAACAATATCACATTGCATAAAATCCTAATTACATTTGTCCATTGTCTGTGGCCTGTAAATATCTACTTAGAATCAAAGTTCAGAAATTATGGACAAGAAACTCTCAAACCAGTTGCTGGACAAGAGAGGCATGAGAGCAAGGCTGAAGATTTTTATCTTGAAAGCAGATGGTATTAAAAATAGATAACATTCAAGGGCACTGAGATATATCAGGATTAAAGCGAAAGGAAGCATCAGAACATGCTGAAAGATTTTTACAAGAGATTGAGATCCTCCTTCAGGTCCTCGGGGGCCAAACATTGTAATTATAAAATCCACTCAGCCTCATTTTTCAGCAGATGTCCTCCTTCTCTGCTGCCCAAAATCTAAGGTCTGTTGCAGAATTATGCTATTGCAAGAAAGCACTCAGTAACAGAGCATCTAATTTAAGTAAGCAAAAACAAACTAGGATTTAAGGCTTATATAAATGTTCATCCTTTCCTGTGAAAGGCTGAACCTTAATAGGACCCAGTGCAATCCATGGACTCCAGAAGTCACATAAGTAGTTCAGTAGAGTCCACTTAGGTGCAATTCTAGTGCTACATGATATTAGATTGAATCACCCTGTGGATATATAGTATTTGGTTTGAATATTATACTATCTTTGATTCTGGACTTGGGGAAAAAGGAAAAAGGATAATTGCAGAGAATCTTTTCACTAGGCTTTTGAACTGTGGTGTTGGAGGAAAATTCTGAGAGTGCCGTGGACCACGAGAAGATCAAACCAGTCCATACTCCAGGAAATAATGCCTGACTGTTCACATGAGGGAAAGATATTAGAGGCAAAGATGAAGTACTTTGACCAGATAATTAGAAGATAGGAAAGCTTGGAGAAGACAATGATACTGGGGGAAATGGAAGGAAAAAGGAAGAGGGGCCAACCAAGGGCAAAATGGATAGATGGTATCCTTTAAGTGACTGGCTTCACCTTGAAGGACCTGTGCGTGGTGACAGGCGACAGGGATCTCTGGCATGGGCTGGTTTATGAAGCAACTGAATGAATAAATAACAACAAATGTGTTAATGTGGGCTGGGAGGCAATGGAAACATTTCTTCAAAAAATAAATTCGTAAATATTCGAAGGAACTAATATCTCATCCCACTAATATCAAAACATACCAACTTGATAATGTGAAGCCATTGACTGTGGCTTCAATTTATAGGTAGTTTGGGATGGGGGTGAGATACTTTTTCATGAGAATACTCAATTCCACATCCATATGAAAAGTATTCTTCACAAGGGCTGCAGGTCTCATGACATGCTTGCCACATCAGCTCCCATGGGGCTTTCATCATAATTCATGGATAATTAAACCCATCATTTGAATAAAGTATTATCCAAAAATAGTCAAGCTGCTGTTAGCATCTGACCTAAATCTCACTGATAACATCTCTTCAGTTGTGATTAAAGAAAGAAAATTTATACAATCCAGCGGACTCTTTTAAATCAGAAGTGGGGCCTTTGAAAGCCTTTCCAGAATTTGTGAATGTTACGTTTAAAAAGTAATAATTAGCTGCATGGTGGAGAACAAAAGCTTAGTCACTATTACTGTTACATTTCTTTTTTTTAAAAAGAATACTTACAGTCAACTCCAATCGGACTTGTTATAGTATACCTCATTGGAAAAGATAGCTGTGCTAGGAAAAGAGGAAGGCAGTAAGTAAAGAAGAAGACCACATTGCAGATGGACTGATTCATTTAAGGGAACTTCCAGGCAGTGTCAAAAATGTGGGACAAATAAGTGGGACAAAAATTATGGTACCTGACAGCAAGTCCAAACGCAGACCTGTTAGTTTAGGTAAATGGTCCCTCACTGTCCTGACATCTTTGTTTATAGCGGATTTTAGAAATCCACAGGATGGATGGGGGACATCGGGTGGAAGTTTACTTTTTTTGTATTGATTATCTGAGATGTGTTGGACCTCATATGCGCTCATGCAGACATCTAAATGAACACACAGGCAGCTTTCTTATCATCTCTTCTCACTCTACTGTATATTCAAGCTCTGTTTAATTTTGTAAAGATCAGAACAAAGGAATGGTTGCAGAGAGTTCTCATTGTAACTGCTTTCCATCTGTGCTCTCATTTAGGCCCTTGTGTGTCCATGGCTCCATTTGTTTACAGCCCAGATCAGCTGTTTCAGGATTTTAAAATGCATACATGCACTGGAACAGTCCACACCAGGGTATTGGAGTGAAATCATAAGTTTTCCTTGACTGCAGGGATATACAGCCATGCGAAAATGCATATTTTTGGCTGAAATGGGGTTTTGAAATCAGAAATCCATGTCCTAATCTCTAGAGTAGCAGAAACCATTTTTCCTATATCTTCTTTTCCTATCACCTTGGCTCACGCACAAAAGCACTGCAGAACTAACTTAAGACATGCAGAAAATGGTTAAAGGGAGAATAAAGAAGAAGCCTGGCAGACTAGAAAGTACTACTTTCAAAAAGCCTACCCTTGATGGTAGGAACAAAAAGACTTGGAGAAAGATTTAGAGGGGGAGCCTGAAACATCCTGGAATTATCAATGTGTTGTCTGGATCTTGGAAACAAAAGTGAAAATTTCCATGACCAACTATATGTTTGGCCAGACAGGATGAGCTCTAAGAAAACATTTTGCATCTTTATTTTAGTTTCTTTTCCTGTGGACTACTGTGAATCCCAGTTTTAGTAGAAGGGTTCAAAATAAATCAGATAATAATACATTAGAGTCTCACTTATCCAACATAAATGGATTGGCAGACCGTTGGATAAGCAAAAAAAAATTGGATAATAAGGAGGGATTCAGGCAAAGCCTATTAAACATCAAATTATGTTACAATTTTACAAATTAAGCACCAAAACATCATGTTTTACAACAAATCAACAGAAAAAGCAGTTCAATACATGGTAATGTTATGTAGTAATTACTGTATTTACAAATTTAGCACTAAAACATAGCAATGTATTGAAACAGCTGTGGATCCTGGCAAGAGACAGACTGCATTGGATAATACAGAACATTGGATGAGCAAAGGTTAGATAAGCGAGACTCTCATGTAATAGTAGTAATAATGATAATAATTTATTTTTAACCCAGCCTCTGTCCTCAAAGGGTCTCGGGACAGCTTCCAAACATAAAACATAATATTGGCAAACATTCAATGCCATCAAATCAACATTAATATATTTATACCTATAGTTAAAACAAAATAGAAGACATTGGCTGGTAATATGAATCAATAAATAAGATAGCTAAACAATTATTCCAGAAGTTTAATAATACATCAATTAATTATTGGCATCCCCAAAGTTGTCATCCCCAATGATTGGCATCCCCTCATACCACCTATTACAATGCAGCCTGAGCCCTGCCACATGCACCATGGAGGACCTTCTTATAGCAACACCAGAGGCACTCCAAGTGGCCAGCTACTGGTCAAAGGGCATTTAGTATAATGCCAAGTTTTAAAAAACTTTGTGTTTTTTAAATACATTCCAACTGTACCCTTGGTTTGCTTCTGATACAATAAATATGATAAATATCCCTCAAAGTTCAATTTCTAAAGCAGGCTTTCATCTGATAAGAAACCAAAGAAGGCTTTTTTAAAGTCTTTTTCATTACTAGCTTAGTGAACCATGGCTGGAGGATTGTAGGTGCTACAGCCCAACAAAGGATGTTTTCCAAGCTCTACAAAGGAACACCCTTCACCTGTGTTATATATATTTTTTCTGCAAACACAAGCATTGGAATGGCCTTGAAGGCTCAGTCTG